TTCTTTTCTTTGTTCGATGAAAATCCACCGGTATATGGATTCTCAAAGTGCCTACTTTTTGTCACATTTTACCTTGTTTATCGCAAATGTGATTTCTTTTTAATTTTTGATGTAACTACTCATTTTGCTTCTCATCATTTTCATGAGGTCATCAGTTCTAAGACTGCTTGAACATGCACCTACACGTTTTTCTATCCTGAGCTTTTCTCTAAAAGTAGAACATCCCCCAACCTTAACAAAAATCTAATCTAGAAGTCTACCTCTAATTCTATTAACTCCTGTACCTTCTAATATGTCTCTAACTAGCTCTTCTAACCTGAGAAGGTGTCCTACCAACCTATCCTATAGATACTGACTACATGGATTTAAATAATGAAGCAATATTCTTTTTGTTTCAGTATTTTCTTAACTATGATAACTACTTTCCATTTTGACAGGCTGTGTTTGAATGTGCTCATATCTTATATTTCGACAATATGGGCGCAAGTACAATTTTGAATACGTTTTAATATAAATGTATCCAGAGGCTAAGCACAGTGGAAGATTCAAACGTACACATACCTAAAAATCCAAGAGTAGTGATAATTTATCCTAAAATTTTTAATAATAATTTTTCATAGCAAGAAAAATGAGTAGATACATCGTACGTCATCATGCAAAAAATCATGTTAAATAAAACGGAGTGAAATATAATAAAAAGTAGGCAACTTTGAGCATCGATATCTTGTACAAAAAAAAAGAAGAAAAAATGTGTTTCTTTAAGGGATCTCTTTTCTCTGAACATTTATATGTACCTAAATTGTCCAGGAAAAATGTTATAGACGATTTGGCAAACGACGTTTTTTTGGAAATTTTCTACTTCGTATTATATTTATATGTTATATGTTATAATGTGGTGATAAAGTGATAGGTACATTACCCAAAAATATTCTACTTTGAAGCCGGGTATTTTCCTATGAAGGGCCCCAACATGGTGGACAAAATCAAAAAATGTATCCATGTTATCCAGGCCTTTTATTCCTTCGTCTAAGGTATTCATAACGGTGGTAGCATGAGCTGCCAATTCCATGCTGTTGACTTGGTCTTCTTTCGTTTTCAGTTCCCTAAATTTCTCAAATAACGTCAGTAGTTCTTGGTGTTCTTCGAAAAGTCTGAAATGGAAGAATTAAGAATATAAGTATTCAGAATAACTAGATGAATTTACGAAATAATTGCAGTATATAAGGGATTAAAGTGTTACTAAGCACTTTAGACAGAATTGCCATTTTTGTTTTGTAATTTCTCACTCTCAGGACACTAGAAATATTACCATTTTACGAATATGACAAAAATGCATGTCACAATATAAACAAAAATTGTAATTTTATGATTTGTTATAATAATCAAAGCCTGAATAGCATAAAAACGCCCTTTATTATGTAAAAGATTGGCAGAGCTAAAGCATTTAATCCAACTCGCTTTTTAATGGTATAATCCACAAACGGGTGCATATATAAAACAACGATACACTGTGAAAGCTCATAAAGTACGATATGGGGCAAATAAATAATTACAATTAAGTAGTAGCACGCCACTGGTAAATTAAGTATAATATAGTTGCAACGTTCAAAATTGGCATAGTCCGCAATAAAATTTAATTGTGTTTTTCTTTCAACTCCTAACTAGTCTAAGACGGCTGCTGGCAGAACGTCTACTTTTACTTACGACAAACGTTATAGGGAATATCGTAAACATAAAAAAGAGATGTCATAATAAGGTCGTCAATCCTAATAAGACTGGTTGGACACGCACCTCCACTCTTTCCTATCCTGAGCTAATCTTCTCATTTCTCTAAAACTAGAACATCCTACATCCTTAACTATTTGCTTACAGTAATCTAATCTAGGTCTTTCTCTACTCCTCTTAACTCCTGTTTCTGCCTCTAACATGTCTCTGACTAGCCCTTCATGCCTGAGAAGATATCCTACCATCCTATCACGACTATTTCTTATGGACTTCCATAGAGTATTCTCACGGAGAAACCGAAAAACGAAAATTTACCTAAATATTAAAGCGATACATACAATTTATCCCACTCGTCAGTTGCTTCGTAAGCGAAAATAATAAAAATTACAATTTGGACCCGAATAAATTTACTAGGTATTTCAGTTGATATTACAAATTTAATTGTAATAATTAAGAAACATGTCAAAATTGAGATTATTACAAGTTACGTAATAAATTTTACTATTTTTACGGCAAATTCAGTCATTTACAATCGAAAATTGTAATTTTTGCGTTGTCATAAAAATTTACTATTCTCCCTGCTGTTCTCCTATTCTTTCTAATACCTCTTCATTTCTAACCTTCCCTATCCACGATATCTTCATCATTCATCTGTAACACCATATTTCGAAGAACACAATAGAAAGAAAAAATTAACGTTATGTAAACTATAATTAATAGCTAAATTAATATCCTTTGGATAGGTAACAGCAATTTTACAAACAGAACAAGAGCAGACAGTGCGTAGAAATTAGCAGAGAGCGACCGAAGAAGATGCGAAGTTAAAAATAAAGTATTTTATACCAATTCATAAGCAGTGATCCATAAGGAATTTGTAGGTGCCACCCAAGAAGCCTGTAATGTACGGCGCGAGCCGTAGAGATCGTCGTAAACTGTAGTTAGGAAATTGTTACACAGTAAGGCAGGGCGTATGCGGTTTGACTCTCGCGCAAAGAGTATTTCATCATAGTTTGTGTTTGAAACAAGAAGAGGAGCAAAACGTAACCCGAAGTGAATGGGTTTAATAAGCATCTTGAATAAAAGAGGTAGCAAACGAAAGACTGCGCATGAATGCGTTTTTGATGCGCTCAACTAAGTTTTGAAAATGTGCATGCGAGAATCTCAGTAAAAAAAACACACTAAGGTAAAAGGCCCAATTTTTGACACTCTAAGAGTGACAACTGAGANGGTGCATATATAAAACCACGATATACTGTAAAAGCTCATTAAGTACGATATGTGGCAAATAAATAATCACAATTAAATAGTAGCACGCCAATGGTAAATTAAGTACAATAATACAGTTGCAACGTTCAAAATTGGCAATTTCGTAAACATAAAAAAGAGATGTCATCATAAGGTCTTCAGTCCTAAGACTTTCCTATACTGAGCTAATCTTCTCATTTCTCTAAAACTAGAACATCCTACATCCTTAACTATTTGTGAACGGTAATCTAATCTAAGTCTTTCTCTATTCCTCTTAACTCCAGTTTCTGCCTCTAACATGTGTCTGACTAGCCCTTCATGCCTGAGAAGATATCCTATCAACCTATCGCGACTAATTCTTATGGACTTGCATAGAGTCTTCTCACGGAGAAACCGAAAAACGAAAATTTACCTATTAAATATTAAAGCGATACTTACAATTTATCCCACTAGTCCGTTGCTTCGTAAGCGAAAATAATAAAAATTACAATTTGGACCCGAATTTGTAAAAATAAAATCACAGCAGAAATAAATTTACTAGGTATTTTAGAAAATAGAGGATATGATATAGCTAATGGAAAAGGAAAATTTACTTAAATATTAAAGCGATACTTACAATTTATCCCACTAGCCCGTTGTTTCGTAAGCGAAAATAATAAAAATTACAATTTAGACCCGAATTTGTAAAAATATAATCGCACCAGAAAAAAATTTACTGGGTGTTTTAGTTGATATTACAAATTAAATTGTAATAGTTAAAAAACTTGAAATAAGTTTGAAAGAAACATGTCGAAATTGATATTATTATTAAGTTACATAATAAATTCTACCGTTTCTACGGCAAATACCTAAATATAAAGGTGTATAAATAAAGATCTACGTAATACATACATAAAGATACTACAAGCCTGACGCTGGAAGCTGGCGGAAATTTTAAAATGGCGTGGATGCGCTGTGGCAAAGGTAGGCAGTTTTAGGTATAACGATTGCAGCCCTCATTCTTCAGTATTCCTTTCAGGGGCGTAGATTAAATATTTAAAAATAGGAATCAGTGAGCAAGTAATAGACAGACAGACAAACAGAAGAACTAATTGTTGATGTTGGTGACAGTGATAGAGATTCCCATGATGAGAGTGAATGTGAAAACTAACTATAGAACAAAAGCAATAGGTTTATTTTTTCTTTTTGGTAAGTCATGTTTCTACATTATTTTCTAGTACGCTACTGTCCTATCTGTATTAATACTATAATTTACGCCTACTGAAAGCTTATTTGTGTATCGGT